GAAAGAGAGAGAGAGAGAGAGAGAGAGAGAGAGAGAGAGAGAGGAAGGGATTGGGAATGAGGTCTATCCTTGAAAACTCCCCCAACTTCCTCCAGCTCGGTCCCAACTCTTAAAGTTTCAAGAACCTCCCAAAATAGTGCCACTGACTCAGGACCAAGCATTCAGCACATGAGCTTGTAGGGAACATTCTATATTCAAATCTTAACATATCCATAAAAAGACAACAAAATTCTTATCATTATCTTTAGGTTGTGAGGTTATGGGTGACTTTTTCCTGCTTACAGGTTTAAGAATTTTCTGCAGTCTCTCAAACCAATATTGCTTCTACAACACAAAAAGAGGCATTTTTTCCCATCAGTTATTTTTTAAAGATTTCTACCACAATCCACTCACAGGTGAATTACTACATCAATTTCTTAATGGTCTTCTCTCTCACCTTTTACTGCCTTTTAATTCTGCTTAGAATAATGTCCAGGCAACTGGTTTCTCTATGCCTAACGTTCTCCTGACCAATAGCCTCAAACAGGTCCCAGATCACCGTCCAAAAGATAAGGTCAAAATACACAAGTCAGGGGTTAAGACCCTTTATCATATGAATTTATTTCTCAAACAACTTTCTCTTCACACCATTCTTTCTGACTGGATTTAAGATTTTGTGTGTGTGTGTGATTTTCCCAGTGTAATGCTATACACATGGTTCGTACTTCTGCAAGGATCTACAAGTAAGCTTGAGAACAAACTTGTTTCCCTTGTGTTTTGGAATTTGGAGAAAAGATGTAAGTTCTTCTGGTTTTAGGAAACACAGGTCTTCAGAACAACCAAGCAGGATGGGGAATAACCATTTAACAATTAAAAAGTGTTTAAAAACAAAAGATGGTCCCTGCCCACAGTCTTAAAGGAAAATGAGAAACTAGGTTCTGACAGACTAAGCAGCACATACTACTAAGATGACTGAGGAGAGAAAGCGGAGTAAGAGCCTGGGCAGAGTTAACTACACAGGTAACAGAAGTGGGTTCCCCCAGGACCTATGAAGCTTGTGATACCTTCTAATTAGAGAAGTCTGAGGAATCTCATTCCCAAGACATGTTGAATAAAAGGAAAACCAATGAACCCCATGGAACGCTTATCAATGAAGACTTTCTCAGACACAAAAGAAAAACCAAATGACATATGGGCTCACTTCCAGGTCAAAGGTCCTAAGAAAAACAAGCTTCACGGACTTTCACTCTGTGAGTAAATGTTGCTTCTCACTGGTTGAGCACAGTGCCAAAGAAGTCAACAGGATCTTAGGAGAATATATTCAAGTAGGACAAGCTTAACTGGTCTAACAGCTACGTGTTTTAGAGACTCCTGTGTTAGCATCTGGGTTTCAGATTTAAGGTGAGCATACAGGATTTATGTGTTAAAATCAGCCCAAGCATCCTCAGAAAGAACTCTGAATGATGTGTGTTTGAAAGGAGCATGTTTTCATTTTGAAAGGTTAGTACTCATTTTAAATAGTATCATCTATTTCCTGTAATTCCTCCTCTCCATGAACTTATGCACACACACACACACACACACACACACACACACACTCACATGCCCACACACAGGCTTTCATACTGTTTGTATAAACTACCTGTTATTACACCCCCCAAGTTTCCCTTCTCCCCTTGCCCAGTCTCCTCATGTACATTATTTCATGTGTACTCTGCTTCTTATTCTATGAATTCTTGCCACTGTAGTGATCATACATTTCATTTTGGTAAAAGAACTTTTCATTTTATCTGTATTCATCTAGTGGTAAAATTTAGAAGATATAATTTGAGATTGTATCCCAGATATTGGAATGGAGGCTTTCCACATGTAAACACCTTATAATACAGGAAGTCCTGTTTTACAGATGGGTTCAAAGCAAACAGGTGCTTTGCTCTAGTCTGAAAATTGTGACAGTTCATAAATTTATAACTTAGGTCTTTTCCAGCAGATGGTATTCTAATGGAGAAATAATTGCAGAGGAAATGCCTCCCCCAATAAACCTCTTTTGCATTTGCTTATGAAAAGTTATTTGATAAAGAGAGGAGGAAATATGACTTTTTAATGGTGATTAGGGTTGATTTTTCTAACAATTACTAAAAACCTTACATTAACTGCTAAAAGAACAGGTGGAAAACTCTCTGAATTCTTTTGGTGAGTAACCTTGGACAGGCAAGTTTTCTACATACCAGATTCCAAAACTTTTATAAGATTCTACATTTAAAATTTTTATTGATGGATTTATTGAAACATTGCTCAGAAGTATATTAAACAGATCTGTCTTTATTTAGACCACTTCTCATCCTCTCACACTAGGGCTGGTGGAGGGGCTGAGCAGGGTCCCTGGCCTCTGTGCTGAGCAATATCTCAATGTTTTATTCTCTGTCTTTAGTTTTAGGATCCTTTGGAGTTCATTGCTACATATTGTTTATAGCTCCTCTCTATCTACCTTATTGATAAATTCTAATAGGACCCAAGAGACCAAGTTCATTTATAGAACAGCTGCTAACAAAGCTACCATTTCCTGAGGGCCTACTCTGTGCCTCTTATAATATATTTAATCCTTACACAATTCTGACTGTTTTAATATATTTAATCTTCTTAATCCTTACACAATTCTATGAATTAGCTATTATATCCATTTTTTATGAGTAGGGAAACTGAAGCTCAAATAATTTGCTTACAGTGTCACACCAGGTAGATAGATAGTAGAGGCAGCATTCATAGTCCTCTAAGAGGACTCTAAGTCCTCTGCCATCTCCCACTGCCTCCCAGGTACTGACAGAGCCACTTGCCCCTTGGAAATGCTGGGAACTAAGAATGAGGAGGCAGTGAGCGGCGCCAATGCTCTCTGATTATTAGAATTTACCAGGTTTTTTTTAGTGTGTCATTTTGGACACATAGTTTGCAGTTTTGTCCAACTCCAGGGTCAAAGGACAAAATAAATGGAAGCTTTTTATGATATTTGAAAGTCTATACAGATGTTCCCTTTTGCTTTTTGGATATAATAATAATGAAACACATGACGTTACAGTAAAGTCAGTCTCCTGGCCTCAGTGCCAATTCACTAACAATGTGAGCAGGGTACTTGAGAAAAAGGAAATAAGGTTTATTATTCATCGATGAAATGGACGACGGAGAGTCAACCTCTCAGAGCTCTGTCTTCCCACTTCTGAGAGAAAATGTCCACCTTTTAAAGGAGACTTCAGAGGCTCAGCTTGAGTATGTGATGAAATTCATGTCCCAGAATAGGTGCTAACCTTGGTTTTCTAGGTGCCTGGCACCACATCTCAGAAGCTGCATGTCTTGGCTGACAGGTTTACTTCCCTGGTGGTCAGAGAAAGAGAGAAGGGGTAGTAGAAGATTGCCTGGTTTAATTGAAGAAGAAAAGGTGTTAACCTTAAGCAATTCGACATGTAGATAAAACATGGGGGTGGGGGGAGAAAGGTTGTCAGTTTGATTGACAAGCAGAGTAATCTGGCCAGCTCTGCAAGCTGGGTACAACTAAAAGTTTTTTCCTTTTGTAGTCCTGGTTACAATGGTAAGGACCCACCTCTCCCTGGGTCACTAGGGCAGGAGTTAAGCAATGTTAGAACATTGTTAAATACTGATAAAGCACTGCTAATAAGAAGCCTATCTTGTAGTTATCTCTTATATTGTTATTTGTTTTCCTTTAAGTCTGCTGAGATATTGGGGGTGTGGAAGGATTGACTCCTTTGCCTTACAGCTGTTAAAGACCCCTTCCCTGAGCTCTGGGTGCAATAGAAGGGCTGCCAGCTAGGCACCTGGACTTCCCTCTTGCCAACAGTAGCCACTTGAACCCAAAAGCACAACTCTGGTTCTAGAAGGCACTGCACCAGCCAGCAGCTTGCATTGGAATTTTGCCACCACAGCAGCCACTTCCATCCAGGCCAGAGAAGGCACTTCCTCCCCGATGCCCCAGGAGAAGACCTGTGAGTTGGTACAAACACAGTCTTTCATTAGCATAAGGGACTGCCTTGGCTGTGACATGATTGGTGCAAACACAATCTTTCATTTGCATGAGGAGACACGGCCATGTTGGTACAGACACTCTTGTCATAACCCCCTGGCTACGTGAACAGGTCACTCAGCTCACTTTATCAGCAGTTGGGAGACTCTCCTGTGCTGCCTCCTAGTGTGGCAGGAATAAGTCCAATAAAGACTTCCCTCAGGTGCTTTTGCCTACTTTGCATTCTTGTCATTAGTAGAACAGCTGAGCTGGTAACAGGGAAAAGTAGAGACGTGGTGGCAGTAGTGGGGCAGTGAGAGCCAGCAGTGGAGCCCCTGGAATAAAAGTGACAGGAGTGGCCAGGAGAACATTGAGTGGGCAGCAAGGAAAGCAAAACCAACGTCAAAGGCAGTGCTGAAAGGGAAACTGACACGTGGCCTGTTGGGATCCTCCAGCAGAGACCCCTCCCATTGCAGGTCCCTCTTGAGGCACAGAAGAGCTGTAATGCTTGAGGCCTCAGGTCTGACCCCCACCCCAGGCCTGGAATCCCAAACCACTGCCCACTGTCATCCACACAAACACCTCCAGGGACCCAGAATAACTGAAGGAGCGTGCCTTTGTCTACTTGTGTTTCTATCTGGGTGGCGCAGAAGGAACCTGGCCAGCTGGTTTAGGACAGGGACTCACATTTAAACTTTTTTTCCTTGGGAGTGCTAGGGACCAAACCCACTACCTTCCACTTACTAGGCAAGCATTCTACCATTGACCACACCCCCAGCCCTTAAATCCATCTAGCAGCAAATGGAACAGCGGGAATACAGATAGGGTTACACACTGGAAGTCAGGGCTTACTATTTGGCCAGTGAACTCTACCCCCATTTTCCCACCCCTCACCCTAAAAGAACTCTCTGCAGAGGTGTCCTCACCCCACATTCATCTTGGAAGTGTGCAGGTCAGCTGTGGGAAAGGCAGGCAGAGAAACAGATTTTTGATAAAACAGTTTTTATTGGAAAATGAGTACAGTCTATTGATCAATGATACACGCTGTACATGACTTTGGTGTTTTATCATATAAAAATATCTGGCATCTGCTGCAGAATTATACAAATAAGTTTTTGTTTAAAAAAAACCCTTCATCATTAATCAGTACAAACATAATTAATCTAAAATGTCATTAAAAATGGCTCAATAATTTTTCTTTCCTTGCAAGTAAAATTAAAAAAAAGACAAGTGAGGGAAGATAAAAATTCTGCTAAACCAGTTTTAACCACTGGTAATTAAATACTTCATTGCATTTGCAAATTTCTTCTACACTTAAGCTGACTTTAAAAAAATGTCACTGTAAAGTGCAGTGAAGCCTAATTAATGGGAAATCGTGAAAGGAAGAGTTTTAAAAAGAATTTGGGGATTAGGGAAAAGAAGTCAAAGGAAGTTCTAGAGGACCAGAAATGTAGCTTCCTTCTGGAACCTTCCCTGGGAAAGGGGGTGTGGCCCTGTGCTTTCCTGTTTAGGATCTTTCTCCTTTAGGAGAAATCCTTTAGGATTCTCAAGAATCCCTTGATTCTTGTCCCTCCCTATTTGTAATTCTTTGTAATTCTTTGACTCCCCCCCTTATCTCTGCCACTATTTTGTTACTAATTCTAAGCTTGCTTTCTTGATATTATATATGCCAGTATTTTTCCAGATGACAGAATAAAAATCATCCACAAAATTAAACTTTAAAAGCATCTAACAGGACTTTGAGGTCATGCGATGCTCTGAAGCCCACCCTGGATTTCTGGCTGTAGTCTGTGTGTGCTGCTAACACCACCACACCACACTGTCAGACAGCATCCAGGAGAAATCAGGCAGAAGGGGAGAGTCAGAACACTAAGCTCGTGTTTTTGTCTAGCTCCAAGAATTTTAGGGGGAAAAATGCCCTCCCAAATAAATGTTTGTGCTCACCACAATATTAGATATTGAAAAATATGAAAAACAAAAGACCTGTTCACAGTCACACAACTTTTAAAACTGTGCCTGTTCCTCTGATAAATGGCACACGAACTTGGCTTTGCAATTTTCCAGAATTGTTCTAATTATCCTGAGGACTGTCATCAAATTTTTTAAAAGATTTTTTATACCAAAAATTTAGCTTTTTTCCATTTTTAATTGGACAACAAATATTGACTTTGGGAGAAAGAATATTTGAAAGTAAAGACATTTTACATGAAATCTAAACATAGTTTTTATAAATTCCAACACTGAAAAGCTTTTGAATTTGTTTCTTACATAAAAAAACCATTCCTGGATTCAGTTGCCTCCTAGAAAAACTGTCATTTCTTCTCACATGAGTATCGAGGTAGGGGGGAAGGGACAGTTAGTGAACTGAAATCAAGTATTCAGAGCAATGGACCAGAAGTCAGAAAACAGAGGCTCAAGTCCTAAGGCCAACAGAACTAAAAAAGTAATTTTTTAAATAGGTTATTTTCTTTATATATAAAATGAGAAAAACAGCAGAAAATTAAATACAGTTATCTGAGAATTAAAAAAAAATAAGGCACTATGCAATCTATGTCATATGTGCAAGTTGTTTATGGAAAGCAGCAAGGGACACAGAGATCAACCACCTCCCCCTCAGAAAGCACAGATCCCAGCTAGAGAGGGAGGCACTTCTGGAAGTGGTTGTCAATGGACAACACTAGCTGATTGGTGGTAAGGACAGAGGGCTTTAGAGTGGCAGTCTCTTAGGGAAAGATCCCCAGGGGCTTTGGCATTGAAATAAACTTTAAATTTCAGTAAACGCCTGATCAGCTGAAGAAAACACAAGAAGGAATTCTAGTCAGAGGAGGCAGGAGGTGCAGCCAAGATGGAAGCCCAGGAGGCTGACCTGAGATTCCCATAGCGGGGTTCTGAAGGGGAAGGCTATGAAGACAGGTTGGGGAGCTGGGATGGGGGTGACAAGCTGGTGAGGGGAGCATGGGCTTTAGCTCCTGAATAGGAGGGGCCCCTCAGAGGTGTTTCAGGAGAAGCCTGGTGGGAGGAGAGCAGTATTTGAGGAAGATGATTCAGCTGTAGGATGTGCATGTGGCAGAGCAGAGGGAGGCAGGCGCTGCAAAGCTGTCTCTCAAAGAAGCAACAGTCCAAGTCAAAGGAAGAAGAAGAAGGACAGGACAGTCATTCCAGGAGGAAAGAGTGGGCCAATTTCTGCTACTACTGCTTTTAAAATCTTTTTTGTAGAAGAGAAGAAATCTCTCAGACTGCCACCTTGGAATCCCAGAGAATCTCTTTTTTCATTGAAATGACAGTTTTCCAGGTCTATCAAATACAACTTGGTCTTTGGAAACTGACTGGCTGTTGATGTGTCTGGAAAACATAGCCGATGAAAAGTTCCTCCTTCCTCTGTGACATTGTCAGTGTCCTCTATTTGCAGGGCTGCCCAGGAGAGCCACTGCAGGACCAGTGTCCCTACAGCACTCCCAGAGATGGTTACAGTTCTACCATAGGGCTGTGAACAGCTTAAAAGTCATCACTAGATGGCCTTTTCCTGCATGCTTGTTTCTTCCAGTTCACGGTTTGGATGACTTTTTCTCAGCAGTTCACACATTCAGAGAGAGTATCTATGCCCTTTATGAAGGCTGACCCAAACTCTCAACTCTGAATTGCCCTGACCTGCTATTGTCACCAAGTCTTGTTCCCTTAACAACCTGACTCCAGGTGACTTGGGGGACAAGGGACTACACAGGTACATTTTATGACTATACAAGCAGCAGGAGGCACAGCCCAGCCTGCAATGCCATTACAACAAGAAGCACCCAAAAATCTCTTGGCCCAGTTTCTCCATGCTACCCAAGAGGCAAGTGAACCCCCCTTTGTAGTTTCTCCTTAGGGTCTGGCCTGGTGGGCACAGATAGCAGCTGGTGTTTGGATGCAGGTGACCACTGCTGTGCTGGCATGTGGTACCTGACATTTTTCCAGAACCTGGTCTTCACGGACTGTGGTCCCTCTCTAAAGTCCCCTGACCAGCGAATGGCCCCATGTTTCTGCTTAATGAATTTGATGGATTCTGGCATTTTCTCATAGTCTTGGATTTTCTCCAGCTCAAGCAGAATGACTTTAATTCCATCCTGAACGAGAGCATTGTACATCACTATTTGCTCCTCAGACGAATGACCCAGATAGCAGAAGCCTGACATATCTTTCACTAAAATGATAATCAGCCTTCTGCTCTTCTTTATATTTTCATTAGTGACCTCAACAGCATCTGAAAAATCAGGAAGCACAGTGTAGTAAGTCAACGCGCAATTCGTAATCATTCTTTCAGAACACTAACCTCACACTGTTCTTCCCACCTCATCCACTGTGATGCCTAGTGCTTTCTGTCTTGCTTTATTTAAGATTAAAAGGACTGCTCCATTTCACAGACCAGCTCAAAAAGGTGGCCCACAACAGGTGACTGTTCCCCTTAGAACTCAGAAAGCTTTAGTTGAAATTTTAGAAAATTCTTATCATTTGAGCTATACCACTCCTATTTTATTGTACAGTTGCAAAGTAACTAGTGGGTCTAACTAGTCATTAAGTTTTCCAAAACAAATAAAAATCAATTAATTATTGATCTGGCAAACTATGAGAGAAGTAAATACTTGGCATGCAATAAACATGAAAATTGTCATTATATACCACTGAAAAAACTCTTAAAATTGTCAAATATGTGCATCCATGCCACAATCTTCTAGAAAGATAGAACCCAAACTTAACAAGAACAATAGGTCTTTTACTCTCTTGCATTATATACACACCTTCCCCAACGTTGTCATCCCTTCCATAAATGAACAGCTTATATCCAAATTGTTTTTCCAAGACCTCAGGCAAGACTTTAAACACAAAAATATCTGTGGCTGAGGTGGACCCTTCCTCAAAGGTCTTTGGATATAGTATATATGCATCATAGATCTTTCCATCTGAAGCTAAAGGAAAAATGTAATGTATTTATAATCAAAAGGGAAAATAAGGGATTTTGATAAATAAGAGATTTGATAGAGTATGATAAACATGAGATATGATAAAGTCAGTATCAAAAACATACACTTCCTAATGACTATTTGTCTTTTTGTTATGATGGTATGATTGAAGGAGCAATACCAAAGGTGTAATACACCTTTTTAAAGTATTCAACTCATACAAATGTTCTATTTATTGCTTATTACAAAGTTGTTCTTATATTACACTAATGGACACCTCAATCAATACAAAAATATCCTTAGTTCCTTGTTCTTTCCTTCTTCACCAAGTATCTCAGCCATAAATTCTACTCTACTCTTTCTTCCTTTTATATATTATTGTGCTATTAGGGCTTTTATGAGGTTTTTCACAAAAAAAAAAAGAAAAGAAAAGGAAAGAAAGAACTTTCCTGATGTGTGATAATCTATTCATTTCTTTCATTTGAAAGTGGACCATGGAGTGATGTATGTTATACCAAAGCAGACAGCATGTTCCCAACAAGGCGTTCTGAGTAACTAATGCTCTAAACACCTGCTTGTCCTGCCAATATGAACACTAAAAATGTACCTTAACAAACACTGAAATTCAGCTTCGTCAAGTCAGTTGTAAAACTGTAATTATGTATAAGAATAACTACTATCCTTGCATAGACAGCTGCTTATTACCTAAATCTTCAGCAAAGGCCTCTTACTCATCTCCTATATCCCCAGTAAGAAAATACTGCATGGAATACAAAATCATACCTTTCTTTGGGAGAAAGTCAGAGCAGGAACCCCTATACCAAAGCACAATGTCAACCTTGAAGATTTTATAGATGAAAACAGAGCACACAATTATAACTGTTAAAGTAACAAATATCCCAATCATGAGATTCTTGAAATCAGGGACTACAGAGGAAAGAGGGAAAAAATATTAGAACCAAACAAAAATTAAAACTTGAACATAACAATTTTATCATTTTCAATACAGAGGAAGCCCATTTGGGATTAGCCTTGCATCCAGACAATATTAACTCATTCATTATTATCACTATTAATGGATACTAATGTACAAAGCAATCTAGTCTGGATACTACTTACAACTTTGGGGCATTCTATTAAGTTTACACCTAAATAGCATACATAACAACAAGAGAAAAGAGAAAACATGCTAAACAACATAGGATAGAGCACTCTGCTACAATAAGGAGAGGTCAAAATCACTTAAAAGTATACACAATTTCCCTAAGGTAAGAGAGTCAGCTACTAAAAGCCAAAAGCTTGAGGAAAGAAAAGAAAGGAGGTTTCAGGAGTGTCACATGTCTGCACCCCACAGCCTCTCTTTCTAATTACTTATCTAATGAGTACAGAGCACAGGGAACAGGGTAAGCCACAGGGGGTTTTAGAGGAATGAGGCTGGAGAAGGATTAAAAAGAAGAAAGGAAAAGAAAGTGACTTGTGAATGTCAGGATACATGTAGGCATCCAGAAAAGAGACACTAAAAGCTTTTTTTTTTTTTTTACTTTTCCAATGTGGAACTGATTTTGGTACAAAGTAAAAATTAAGATATTCTATTGTCCAAACTAAGGTCTGATTGGTCCAATGGATAGTTCATTTACAGTCTTCATTTCCACCTCCACATGACTTTCGGAATAAGCCTGCCCATTTACACACGTGCACAACCAGCCATCCATGCAAACACACACTCACATTAGCACAAATGCTGCTGAGATTTTGACTAGAATTATTTTGAACCTATAAATTCATTTGGGGAGAAGTGGCATCAATATAATATTGTTTTCCAATTTATGAACATTGTATATCCCTCCCATGTATTTAGGTTTTCTTGGTGGATCTCGATTTATAGCAATACATTTTTTAGGCTGAATTACAGAAGACTCAAACATCTTTTGCTAGATTTATTTTTAAGTATTGGATGATATTTTGATGCTACTGTGAATGGTTATGTTTAAACTTTAACTTCTATTTGTATGTTGTTGATATTTAGACATACATTGAAATATACTATGGCAAGATGCTAGTGATGTTACTAAATTCATTTACTAATTCTAGTAGTTTGTCTGAAGGTTCTGTTAGCTATTCTTCCATGTACACATTTACAAATACCCTATTTTAAATTCAACTACAGATTATTTTAAATAATTTCAACACTGTGTTTGACTATTCCAATTTACAAAAACCAGTAATTTCTGAGATCCTCTTTATAAACAAGATATTTAGGTTTCCCCGTCTGTGTCCATCATGTAGTCATTTATTTTAAAATATTCAAATTTTAAAATATTCAAATTTGCTAGAATGTAGCAAATTTAAGTTGCTACTTGCTTTGGAAAAAGGATAATTAGTAAGATAAGTGGTTAGCACATCACAGAATATACAGTCAAGTAAAGAAAACTAAGTATAAGAGATACTTTGCTTCCAGAGTAACTAACAAAAGCCCTAACCTCATCTGGTTGGGCAGAGAGCTGGGTTGAAGGAAGGCAGACAGCAAAGCTTTCTATCACATCAAACAGTTCAGCTGAGAAGGGAAAGCAGATTAGAAGTTGCTGGGCTGAAGAGGAAGTGAAGAGTTCCAGGCACAGGAAACTATTCGAAACTTCAAGGTCATGGACCCTTACTGTAGTAAAATAACAACAGAAACAAAAATTGTACTTCAAATCAATAGTTTGTTGTTGGGGAGAAATGACCCAAACAATGTATGCACTTGTGAATAAATGAGTAATTTTAAAAATAAATAAATAAATAAAAATACATTAAAAAATAGTTTGTTGTTTACCTGGGTATACTAGTTGTACATATGCTGCACTTATCTTATCTGTATTCTTGACCAAACAGGTAAATGGGTATAGATAAAACTGACTTCTGACTTCTGAGATATTAAGTGTTGTGATGAGCATATTCTTTCTTTTGTCTGAAGGATTTTCCACACTGTTCAGAAGAGAGAGTGAATGAAGTTACATAGGTTAGCTGTGTCAACAAGGAATAAGGTATATATATCTGGTTTATTTTTTTATTTATAATATGAATTGCAGCTGGACTATCACCTACTCCAGTCACAGGCATAATAATTAGACAGTTTGCACACCAACCTAAAATTGTGTAGCCCCAAGTTCATTGTTAGTAATAGACCCAGTCGCAAGTTAAAATCACCAGCTTCTGAGAGGAAAGATACAGACACAAGCGTTCTGGCCGCCACTGGACACAAAGAAGCATATATTAAACAAGAGTCAATTGAGACAGAAAAAAAGGCTTTGTGGATGCCGGGAAGGAGAGGAAACAGGAAGCAGGTAGATCCTTCTCCTATAGGTACATAATAAACAGGAAGCCAGTAGAGACTTCTAAAGGAGTACTTGATTATTGACCCATTTAATGAGTCTTTTCTAAACTACTTAAAATACTTAAGGAATAACTCAGGATAACTGCTTCATTGGAATGTTGTAATATGCATAACTGAATTTAAGAGAAAGGCTTCTAACTGTTTTGGAATCTGTACCACAATGACCTGCATTTTTACCATCAATGTACAAGATCTTATAATTCTGTTTAGCTTACTTAGCAAAATGCAAAATGGGCAGCAAAGGATTAGAAACAATGAACTGCCAAGCAGCCCTGATACTAAATAAAGATTATATGCAGGGTATATAACACCTGGCATGGAATTTAATATCAAAATTGATTGGCAGGCTTACAGTTGGTAATCTTCCTCCAGTACTGGATCATCAATAAAAGCAACTTCTGACCCATTCCACTGCCAGAAGACAAGGTCACTGGCCTTGCCAGTGACATTGCAGATCAATTGTATATTGGATCCTGCAAAACAGTGTATTTTTAATAAGATTAATTGATTTTTATTCAAATTTTATTCAAATGTCTCTATATCCATAAACAGCTATTGAATTATAGAAAGACACAAAGAAAGAGGAAAATTGTCCTTAACCTCACCAGCTAGACATAGCCACTCTTGGTAACTGTGTATTTCATTTCTTCTCTGTATACCCAGGCAATTTTGTAAGTGGGATTTTACTACTTTGTAATTGCTGTGGGTTGGGGAATTTCAGCCTCCATGACTAGTCCTCCAAAATGGGCTGGTTCTTGGCTGCTTAACATTTCATAATGTAGATACACTTGAACAATTTTTCCTTATTGCTAAACATAATCCATTTCTAATTTTTTATTATTGTGATTAATATTCTAATATTGTGTATACAACAGTATTTGTACATATCCAGAAGCATTATTTTGAATAAAAACCAAAGTAGAACCAATGAAAGGAGATCCGTATTTTAAAAGCCAAGCCTCTCTCAAGTGAGGCCCCTCTCTCCACCAGTACATGCCAGCATCACTTTCCCCAAACTTCCAGATAAGGAGTATTTTGGTTAATTATTGACAATTGAGAGAAGAAAAAAATCCACTTCAATTTTCACCTGCATTTCTTTTTTTTCCTCCATATTGGGGATTGAACCCACAGTCTACAGCTAGGCAAGCTCTCTACTGAGCTCCACCCAAGCCATCTGCATTTCTGGTTATTTTGGAGATGGGATCTCACAAACTATTTGCCCTGCCTAGCCTCAAACTGCAATCCTCCCGATCTCAGCCTCCTAAATAGCTAGGATTACAGGCATAAACCACCAGTACCTGGCCACTGTATTTTTTCTAAAAGCCCTCTCTACCACCATACCACCAAATCAGGAAAGCACCCACACACATTTTTTAAAGATATTTCATTGTTTTGATCGTCATCATTCTTTTTTTTTTTTTTTTTGTGGTACTGGGGTTTGAACTCAGGACCTCTAGGCATGAGCCACTGGCACCTGGCAGATTGTCATCATTTTTTAATCTATCTGGCATACAACTGTCAACAATCTGGTGGAGAGCTTTAACTTAGTGCTTTTGTCCAAATAGTTCACCATAATTCCAGATCACTGATTGATATAACTTTCCTTCTCACTAATTTATAAATCTGCCTTTATCATAAAGTAAATTTTTATTTATTTTGGACTTGAAATATTTGTACTTATGCCAAGTATACTTCTCTCTCTCTCTCTCTCTCTCTCTCTTTCTTTCTTTCTCTCTCACTCTCTCTTTCTCTCTCTGGTGTTTTGAGAAAGGGTCTTGGTATGTTAGCTTAGGCTGGCCTTGAGCTGTTGGTCTCTGTGCCTCAGCCTCCAGAGTGCTGGTATTACAGACATTACATCTGGCTCAGGACAACTGCCTCCCAGTCAGAGAATGGAACCCCAGATTCCTGCATGAAGTGGGGGCATTCACCGGTGTACTAAAGAAGACAGCTTTTTATTCTTGAAATAAAACTTTTTCACTAACTTGAAAAACTATTCTGAAAATAACTATCATTTGCTTTTGATCAGTAGTCTTCCCTTCTGCCTAAAAGCTTGGCTTTTAGAGTAAGAAACCCTGTTCCAGTCAGATCAACTTCATTACTCGTTTCTCAGAATTTTGAACTGAGCCCTTGGCTGGTGTTTCCATGGTTGGTAAGAATCCATAGGAAAGTAGAAATAGGGAAAACAGACATAGCCAGACTCTTGCCATGAGACACACAAGATCAGCAACAACAAAAGCAGGGGCTGGATGCATGGCTCAAATGGTAGAATTTATCTACCATGCATGAGGCCCTGGTTTTAATTCCCAGTACCTTGGAAAAAAAAATAAGACATAATTTGTGGCACTTTCCCTATCTTTATAAATTTAAGAATTGGCGTTTGTGATCTTGAAATCAAAATAATGATTTTGATCATCTGTTCACAATCCACTTACCCAAGTCCACTTCCATTGTCTCATTCGCTGGACTCACAATCACAGGTCTATAGGGCTTGATTTCCTCTGAAAGAAAAACACCCACAGAGCTTCTCAGTCTCTTACAGATCAGAATCACACTCCATTTCAACTTTGGGCAAATGTGCTAAATAGAATCTGGCCAGATGATACCTCAAACATAAAGAAGGAAAAGGGAGGCGAGAGGAGAAGGAAGGAAGCCAGCACAGAAGGAAGCCAGCAAAGTGAATACCAAGGCAAAGCCAGAATCTTCAGACCTGAAGGTGTGGTGCTGCGAAACACACACACACACACACACACACACACACACACACACACACCCCACCACCACCACCACCACTACCACCACCACCAGGACCCTGAAGGTTGGAGGAGCGCCTCTCTCAAGTGCCATGGAAAGGCACCTCCTTGACAGGAAGAACTATTCAGTGTAGACCTGCTGTGTTTAGTAACTTTGTTAATGACCCAAGATTAAAACATAAATGGTTATGGATGAATGCCAAGCAATTTGTCATAGTTTATTAAAATTGGCAGAAAATTGCCAAGAGTTCCAGAAACTAACCTGACTCTTCTTTATAGGACCAGCTTAAAGGCTAATCTGTGGCCAAGAGGAAACTCTAAGAATCAGTGATCTGGAATGCCCAATATTCCACCACTGGGCATAGAGGATGTTCAATAACGACTTTTGAACCCAGGAATGAACAAGAAGCAATAGGCTGGGTCTATGGGAAAACCAAAATATTCCTGATCCCAGAATAAAATACATTATTTCTACACCTGAGATCAGAAATAGAGACAGAGACTATTTAAACCACACTTGGTCTATTGTTAAAAATCCCCCGGTGCCCAGTTCTCCCTAGAGTTTTACTTACTGTTTTGGTTGTTTCATCTCAAGAAAGATAAACTAGAGCTACATAACATCCATGGACAGGCTGCTGAAAACTCAAGATTATGGTTGTAATCAAAGAACACTGACAGTTATGAGCACTTGTGAGGTCATGGCAGGGAACTGATTTTCATTCAATAGAATTAACACTTGAAAAAGTAAATTATTACAGGATTGGGAAAACATAACTATACGTAGGGTGATCCTGTTTCTGGGCTTGCCTTGGATAATCCTGAATTATACTTACTGTCCCAGCAAAATTACTAATAGACACCCCTTTAACTTGCAAAAAAAAAAAAGTTCTGGTTAGATTAACTCATTTTATAATTACTTAAAACTGACACAGAAGGTTGAATAGCCTGCTCATTCTCAGACAATTTATGGAAGTGCATTTGTTTCATCTTGTTATGAAATTATTCTTAGTATCAGACAGGGTTACCACAGAATTGAAAGCCCCAGGAAAATTAAGGTGAACAACCAGCAAATACCCATTGCACACCTGCTTTGCATCAGGCATGTGACCATGAGCTGAGCATTCCTGATCTCTAATCTTCCCAACAACCTTTCTTACAGAGGAGAAAACAGGCTTAGACAGATTAAGTAACTGAGCTAACAAAGAACTGTGCTAGATCCTGGGAGTGATTTATCCTAAAGCCAACTGGTGTCCACCTCATTCATGCCAATAACTTTTTTCTTTTTTTTATACAGGGGATTGAACCAATGGCCTCATGCATGCTCCATAGCTGAAGTACATCCTCAGCCTAACACCAAAGGAATTTGTTGATGGATCCTCAAATACCCACAGTGCAGGCTAAGTGCATGGCTAAGAATCATCTTAGCCATGACCGAGAACAGCCTACTAGATCAGTTGGAAAGTACAGCTCAAAATGTCCGCTGATTAGCACTGCCTCTGAAATGGTAGCGAAAAGTATTTACATGACATTCACTAACAAAATCTAAGGTCATAGGACCTTCATGAAGTCACCAAGCTTCTCCTAGATTTAGTTCTTCCACGGAAAATCAAAGTAATATGAGAATCATGGTCTCTGAGCCATTCCAGACCCAAACTCCTGGTGGAAGCCATGACTCACCTAAAGTAAAAAATTCTATTGTCCTGGTAACAGGATATTGCCTTGCCAAGTATGTGTAGGATATATGACAAGTGTAATTCCCTCTATGCTCTTCAGTTACATTCCTCATGATGAGTTTATTTGTGACTCCGGAAAAGTGTATATTATCAAGAAGTAGAGGTGTACAATCCTAGATAAAAGAAAAGAAACATTGAAAATCGGTAACTTTCCTCTACGGTACCTGCAAAAAGAATTCCATTGTTTCCACATTAACAAATTAAAAAGTGACTGGGAAGGTTGCTTGGACATATTAAGTTTAAATTTTGTAATTTTTCTTTTTTTGGAAAGGCAAAAGTTAATTATATTCAATACTAGAAAATTTTTATACACAGAGCCTTGTGCAGTGAAGGCTAGTGAAGACAAATTTATTTTGCAAGAAAACATATTTGAAGAAAGAATGTTAACACAGTAGTTTATCAATACCATCTTCTTTTCTTCACTGATTTTATTTATTTTGTATTTCTTAACCTCTAAAAGATGATCCCTATCAGAAGCTAGGATAAAGGTACCAAAACATGTGTTCCATACAGTTCTAGTCAACCCACTTCCCAAACAGCTACAGAAACTACCAAGTTATTTATTTACTGAGCATTTAGTTTGTAACAAAGCACAAAATAATATATGCTGTAATAAACAGTTATTCCTAAGTGCCTTAAATTGTGACTCAGTCTTTTCCTTAAACATGTTTTATTTCTATTACTTTTCTCAACTATATTGTATTAAATTAAATAAAAACAGCAAATGAGATCTTAGTTAAGCTTTTAGTTAAATAAAGGAAACCTTATAATTCTTTTTCGATTCTTGAACAAGTTTCACCACTAAAGAGGAAACTACAAATTGAAAAAACTCTTTTGCAGACTCATTATATTGTCCAAGACAGAAAACTATTTTATTTGCTGGGAAACTAAAATAGCATTTTAAAAATAAAATTACCTTATACCACTGTACTTTGGGTAACTCATTATTTTCATCTTTAAAAAAATCTAAATGAGGGCATACAAGACTTCCATCTTCTGCAATGTGTAGTCTCTGTATAAATATAGATTGTGCATTATAACACAAGTTAGGCTCATTCTCCAAAATCTTTGCAGTTATTTTAATTTTGAGGCAGTAAGTTGAATTTCTAAAATAGAGTAAAATATGGAAATAAAGCATTATTAAAAGATTTTGCTGTCCTTCATTTTGAAGGTACTTAGAACACACATTGGTAATACGCTAATTCCTTTCTTACCTTACTGCACAATAGTAATGTCCTGAGTCTTCTACCTTAGCAGGAACAAACCAAAGTTTATCTTTCTGCTGATGAATCCTGGAGTCTAGTTCTGTAGATATAGGTGTCTTGCTGTCATTTTTATACCAAATTATGGTGCCTTTGTTTTCATTTGGGTTAAGAGGACAGGCACGGATATCAATCTCATTTGCAGATGAGAAAAAAATTATGTTTTCTTCACGTTCATCACATTTATCTTTAAAAGAGAGAAAGAGGGAGCACTTTCCATAAAAAAACTTTCCAGTGTTTCTTAATGCAATATCTATACATAAACACACCAATTATTAAATACATCAATTCATACCATATATAAAAGCTTTACAGGCTTATGATTAAGAACATTCCCTTGGGAGTCTAGAACATTTACGTTCAATTCCAGCTGCGTCATTTATTATGTATGTGTCATAACTTTCTTACTCCCTCTTCATTCATCTAAAATATAATAATAATGTAGGAGAGACATCCATACTTCAGTACAACTAAAGGCTTACCCTCCCACTTGAACAACTAAAAATGGGCAGAGTGCATGAAACAATACTGTCCAAGACACTAATCATGCAGGGAAAAAGACAGGTATCAGAAAGATGGCAAACAAAGGCAGAGAGCCTGTCAACTTTCAAACTTACTGTCCACATTTCTGCCAGACAACGACATTGCAGAGAGGAAAGACAAACAAGTCCAGAGTCTCTCTGAGGTGAGGTGATGAAGCTGGGTGTCTGTTTAGATAAAGGGTTTGCTGGACCAAGTGTGCAGATGGTTATAAATACATAAAGGGTTTATAAATCTACTCATTGTCTTCCTTGAGTCTAAGTAGCAATCAGTGTAAGAATGTAAGAAAACCACCCAAGGCTAGAATGAGCATTGTCAGAAGGATGAGATGGAGAAGCACCTGGAGCACACACAATGCTGGGAATAATTAATATTCCCTAAAGCCTGAAGGGAAAACTTCATGAGGCATCAAGTACAGTGTCAACAACAAGGGGATTGGACTATGAGCACATGATAAAAGTGAGAGCACACAAGGGAGGGGTGAGGATAGGTAAGACACCTAAAAAACTAGCTAGCATTTGTTGCCCTTAATGCAGAGAAACTAAAGCAGATACCTTAAAAGCAACTGAGGCCAATAGGAAAAGACCAGGAACTAGAGAAAAGGTTAGATAAAAAGAATTAACCTAGAAGGTAACACCCACGCACAGGAAATCAATGTGAGTCAATGCCTGTATAGCTATCCTTATCTCAACCAGCAAACCCCTTGTTCCTTCCTATTATTGCTTATACTCTCTCTACAACAAAATTAGAGATAAGGGCAAAATAGTTTCTGCTGGGTATTGAGGGGGGGAGCGGGAGGGGGTGGAGTGGGTGGTAAGGGAGGGGGTGGGGGCAGGGGGGAGAAATAAACCAAGCCTTGTATGCACATATGAATAATAAAAGAAAAATGAAAAAAAAAAAAGAAGAGATGAACAATAAAAAAAAAAAAGTACAGTGTCAAAAGAGTTCTGAGTCCACATTTGGGGGAAAATTAGGCTAATGATTCTAATAAAGGATAAAACCATTTACAAATAACAGCCTTCTGGCAGAGAAAAACTCAAGAACATTTTTAGTAATTCAAAAAGATTCAGTATCCAGCATTGAAAAATCTACAATCTGTAGCATCCAATCAAAACTATTAGTCATACAAAAAAAATCATTAGGAAAAAAATCAACCAGCCAAAACTGACACAGAAATGACACAGATAACAGACTTAGAGATGAGAAAATTAAAATTATTATTTCTGCTGTATTCCATTCATTCAAGATGCTAGAGGAAAGATTAAAACATGCTGAATATAAATGTACAAGAGATTTTTTTAAACTTTTACCAAGGAAACTACAATGTCAAATTAAGAAATGCACTGGATCTTTTTTCCAAGATGGCAGCTAGAGGGAGGAAGCAGAAAGCATGCCTCCTATAGTGAAATCTTGGAAAGACACTGGAGACACACCTTGCAGGCAAAACCACCAAGAAGAGGCAAAACTTTGACCCCTCCACACCTCCAGCCGGCGTAGAGCATCTCCAATTCACGTTAACGGAGAAACCAGGAGGGCCCCCAGGCTGCCAGTCACCCACGCCCAGATGGCTTGGGAAGACGTGGACAAGTACAGGGACAGTAACAACACCAAGGACAATGACGGGAAGACAGAAAAAACAGGGAAACCAGTTTCCCCACAGCAAAAAATTAGTACAGGAACCAGAGGGAATGAAGAAACAGAACTCAGATCCAGACTCAACAAATGAAGATAAACTATGCCAAAGACCCAATGAGCCCACAAGAATAATTTAAAAGAAGACATACTACAAGTACTCAATGAGAATTTTATAGAGATGATACTGGTATGGTCAACCAAAATGTACAGGAACACTCAAGAAATTCCAAGACAACAAAAATAGAGAATTTGAAAAAGCAAAAGAAGAAATAAAGAAACCATAGAAGCACTGTATAAACACCAAAGTGAAAAGAGAACACAATAATAAAGATAAATGAACTCAGGACAAAAATAGACAACATAAAGAGGAAACCACCGGATAGAAAACCTCAGAAAAAAGAATGAAACAGAACTGCAAAACAAAACGGAAGGCCAATCCAGCAGAATAGAACAAACAGAAGACAGAATCTCAGAACTTGAAGATGAAATGGTAATTAAAGGAAAAACAAAGAACTTAATTAAACAACTCAAGACCTGTGAAAAGAAAATGCAAGAACTCACCGACTCCATCAAAAGACCAAACTTGAGAATCATGGGCATCGAAGAAGGAGAAGAGGTGCAAGCAAAGGAATGCGTAATATTTCAACAAAATAATAACGGAAAATTTCCCAAATCTAGAGAAAGATATTCCCATACAGATGCAAGAGGCCTCCAGACACCAAACAGACCAGATCAAAATAGAACTACCCACGCATATCATCATTAAAACAACAAGTTCAGAAACTAGGAAAGAATATTGAAGGCTGTAAGAGAAAAAAACAAGTAACATACAAAGGTAAACCCATCAAAATCACAGCAGACTTCTCAACAGAAACATTAAAAGCAAGAAGAGCGTGGGTGAGATCTTCGGGCACTGAATGAAAATAACTTCAACCCCAGGATACTCTACCCAGCAAAACTATCATTCAAAATAGATGGAGCAATAAAAGTCTTCCATGATAAGCAGAAACTAAAACAATATGTGACCACAAAGCCACCACTACAAAAGATTCTCAAGGATTCTGCACACAGAAAGTGAAACCCAACTTAACCATGAAAAGACAGCAGCACCAAACACAGGAAAAGAAAAAGCAAGAAAGTAGAGAGTAACTCAACTTAGGTACACACAATCAAACCTTCAAACAACTAAGACAACTAAATGACAGGAATCACCACATACCTATCAGTACTAACACTTAATGTTAATGGACTTAATTCACCCATCAAAAGGCACCTTGATGAAATGGATTAAAAAGGAAGATCCAACAATTGTTGCTTACAGGAGACCCATCTCACGACAGAAATAAGCATAGGCTTAGGATGAAAGGCTGGAAGAAGATTTACCAAGCCAATGGCCCCCAAAACAGGCAGGAGTAGCAATACTTATCTCTGACAAAGTAGACTTCAAACCTACATTGATCAAACGAGATAAAGAAGGACATTCCATACTAATAAAAGGGGAAATAGACCAAAAGGAAATAATAATATCAACCTGTATGCACCCAATGTCAACGCACCCAATTTCATCAAACATACCCTGAAAGACCTAAAGCATATATTAACTCGCCAACACAGTGGTTGTGGGAGACTTTAACACCCCATTATCATCAATAGATAGGTCATCCAAACAAAAAATCAATAAAGAAATCCAAGATCTAAAATATGCAATAGATCAAATGGACCTAGTGATGTCTACAGAACATTTTCATCCAACTCTACACAATATACATTCTTCTCAGCAGCCCATGGAACCTTCTCCAAAATAGATCATATCCTAGGCACAAAGCAAGCCTCAGCAAAATAAGAAAATAGAAATATCCATGCATACTATCTGATCACAATGCAGTAAAACTAGAACTCAACAACAAAAAGTAAAGACAAAAAACATGCAAACAGCTGGAAACTAAATAACTCATTACTTAATGAACAATGGATCATCGATGAAATAAAAGAGGAAATTAAAAGTTCCTGGAAGTCAATGAAAATGAAAACACAACCTACAAACCTATGGGACACAGCTAAGGCAGTCCTGAGAGGAAAGTTTATAGGCATGAGTGCATATATTAAAAAGACTGAAAGATCCCAAATCAATGACCTAATGATACATCTCAAACTCCTAGAAAAACAAGAACAAGCAAATCCCAAAACAAATAGAAGGAGAGATATAATAAAAATAAGAGCTGAAATCAATGAAATAGAAACCAAAAAAACCATACAAAGAATTAATGAAACAAAAAGTTGGTTCTTTGAAAAAATAAACAAGATCAACAGACCCCTGGCAAACCTGACTAAAATGAGGAGAGAAAAAAACCCAAATTAGAAGAATCAGAAATGCAAAAGGGGAGATAATAACAAACACCATGGAAGTCTAGGAAATCATCAGAGACTATATATAGGGAACTTAAAAAACTAAATTCTCCCAAAACTAATGAACCAATAAAGAAATGGGCAAGTGAACTAAACAGAACTTTCTCAAAAGAAGAAATTCAAATGGCCAAAAAACACATGAAAAAATGTTCACCATCTCTAGCAATAAAGGAAATGCAAATTAAAACCACACTAAGATTCCACCTCACCCCTGTTAGAATAGCCATCACTAGCAACACCACAAACAGCAGGTGTTGGCGAGGATGTGGGGAAAAAGGAACCCTCTTACACTGTTGGTGAGAATGTAAAGTAGTACAATCACTCTGGAAAAAAATTTGGAGGCTACTTAAAAAGCTAATCATGGATCTACCATTTGATCCAGCAATACTACTCTTGGGGATATACCCAAAAGACTGTGACACAGGTTACTCCAGAGGCACCTGCACACCCATGTTTATTGCAGCACTATTCACAATAGCCAAGTTATGGAAACAGCCAAGATGCCCCACTACTGATGAATGGATTAAGAAAATATGGTATCTATACACAATGGAATTTTATGCAGCCATGAAGAAGAACGAAATGTTATCATTCGCTGGTAAATGG